GAACCATTCTGGAGGACCATGTGCACCCAATGGTTCAAACATTGTACCCTGAAGGTGGTGCCGTGTATCAGGATGATAATGCACCAATACACACAGCAAGACTGGTGACAGAGTGGTTTGATGAACATGAAAGTGAAGTTGAACATCTCCCATGGCCTGCACAGTCACCAGATCTGAATATTATTGAGCCACTATGGGGTGTTTTGGAGGAGCGAGTCAGGAAACGTTTTCCTCCACCAGCATCACGTAGAGACCTGGCCACTGTTCTGCAAGAAGAATGGCTCAAAATCCCTCTGGCCACTGTGCAGGACTTGTATCTGTCATTCCCAAGACGAATTGATGCTGTATTGGCCGCAAAAGGAAGCCCTACACCCTACTAATAAATTATTGTGGTCTAAAACCAGGTGTTTCAGTTTCATTGTCCAACCCCTGTATATGTGCGTTGATCAATCTTTATGTATATCTTTAATCTTTATGCCTCTTCAAAAGGCTCGGATTAAACTGCTTGATTGCTTTTAAAATGTCTTATGTCTTTTTTTTTGAAGCATGAACAATTTCAAACTTTCAGTCGATCTCAAAACTCTCAGGTTTCATTTAAAATATCTTAATTTGTGTTTCAAAGATGAAAGAAATGGGTTTTTCATGACATGGGGTGAGTAGTTGGTGGCAATTGTCATTTTTGGGTGATCTAACCCTATAAATACTGAGGTCTCTGGCTTCAAATCAACATAATAGTGCATCCTCCTACCAGTCGTACCTATTACAACTGTCTGTCAGTGATATATTTAGACTAAGCTGGAGTGCATGTGTTACAGCTAGCACCTACAAATTTAAACCTAATTCCCTGTGTGCAGTTTAACAACAACAAAAAATAAGTCAAGGAAACAAGTTACTGAGCAGACTACCAAAATGGCTGCCCATACATTCAGAGAAACCATGATTCTTGTGGAAATAGTAACAAAACTGGTGATTGAGTATTTACACGTTCCGGACCAGGTGTCCAGCACCTTAACAGGCAACAAAACGTTCATCATATGATTGGTGCCCCTTCAACCATGTGATAAGGGATCATTGCACCACTTCGTAACATCTAATGACTGAATTCAAACACATACAAATAACACAAATAATAATTAAAGATGCTGCCACAGTAGTCACCGCGAACTCTGTCATACTTTTTTTATTGGTACACAAACAATTCACTCTCTCTTCTACGGAATTTAGGCCTCCATCCGTTTTGTGGAAGTCTTCCAACTGGATGTGGTCTCTCAGCCCATGATTTCCCTCTCCAAGCTTGACAAAACACTATGGTCATGCAAGACCTCATGACTGATCTAGACTGACCAGGTGGCTCTCGGTAAATGTCCTACTTCACTGAATGTCAAAAATAAATAAAACTAGAAATGTACTCGCAATAATATGTGAACTGCAGCCTTCCCTTTAAACCAGTCTCAAATTTTTGAAACCGGTTTTCATACTGTGGCTGTACATTCAATTCCCAACTTCCCTTTTCCAGGCAAAACCTGTATTTGTACACTGATTTGTATATATGCGAACACTGCGAGTAAGAGTTTCACATTATTCCTTATTCCATTTCCTCCAGAGAAACAGTGTTCAAGACAAAACGAAACAAAAATATGCCAAACGATCAAAGCATTGCTCCCAATTTCTGAGTTCCTATTTAAAGTTCTTAAGAGATTGTTTGAATCAGCCCCTTCCCCATTCTCTCTTTATATTAAGTGAACAAATAGTCCTTAGATTCAAAAGTCCAACTGCTGGAGGATGCAGTTTAAATGGGTCACATGACACCTGAGTCCCTCATCACCCCGGGACTTCTACAAACGGACACAACAAGCTTCCAGTGAGCGCATACATGAGGATGGGTACACATGCAAGTCTTTACAACAGTCCCTTGGCAACAAGAGGGTGGGGGTGTGTTGGTAGCAGTTGAGGTTCAAGCATATAGACACCAAAGAGAGGCCCAGCTTTGGGGGTGGGGCATCACCTCACAACCCACAGTATTCTCATGCTAATCACAGGATGGCTGTCCTGTTCCTGTGGGGATATGCGGAGTTGCCCTGGCAACACTTCCACTTATTTTTCCTTCTTAGGCTCCTGTCCTCCTTTGTTATGCACAATCGCCGACCCGCATACGCAGCGTGCCTCTCTTATGCAAGTGCCAGAGTTGCAAAAATTCCTCAGGCATGGCGTGAAATCTCGAGGATGGGAGAATGTTGTCATAATAATGGTGGCTGACCGGCCGCTCATCCAGTCCCACCGAAAATGGCCAGAAACCATAAGCGGTCACCTCTTCACACAAGCCAAGGGCAAGGCTCACCAGGAACAACCCTGTGGACAGCCGTTTTCCATGGACGCCGTGGTTCTTCCAGAATCGACCAACGTTTTTAAGGAAGTCCGGGTTGGCAAACAGGACAGTCTGGTTGGAGGCGGAGTCTGCAAGGGCGTGGTATGCCCGCAGGGAGGGGTCAGTGCCGGGTTTCATGGAGAACGCTGGTATGTAGATGTAGCTGGAACCATATGCCTTCATACTCTCTATGAAGGATTTGCGGGACCATAGTAGGTTCTGAAAGCTGATAGTGAAAAAAAGAGGAACAATAAACATTTTTTTTTATTTTAATGTCAATATGCAGCAATGTGTTCTGTAAAAAAGTGTAAAAAAATGTTCTTTCTGTAACCAAACTGTTTTATTTGAAGATACCGTGGCCACAATGGATGAATGAATGAATGAATTCAGAAATCAAATAGACCCCTGAATCTAACTGCCAGTCTATTACTGAGCCATGGTTAACTTTAGCTCTATTTATATTGTATTTTGTTAAACATCCTGTTATTTCCTTGGCATTGTGTGAATAGTCAAGTTATAATGAATAAAGTGTCTGAGCTTGAGCTTGTTTCTAAATGTATCATATACCTTTAGGAACACTCACATTACAACACAAGCATATTAATATGCTGTTTTTAATATAAAAAAAATGTTTAAGAAAAATGACCATGGTACTAACAGGGCACTTTGGAGATCTCCTGCCAGCTAATGCAAGAAGTAAACAAGCTAATCCACTAAGAAAGGTCGATATTCATCCCTCAAGACATGTAGTCAGCTGTCTGGAGACCTGTGTGTCCTTTTCTGACCATTCTGTCTCTGTTTTCCTGCTGTTGCTGCATGCTGCTAACTTCCCCAGAAACCACAATAGCTACCAGCTGTTTCACATAGAAGGGCTTTATGAACTCTATCAGACAACAGAATGCATTGTAATTGTAAGGTAAGATGAATAAAATATGGACAAACTTGTAATAGAAAAAACATGGTTCAGTAGAATGAGAGAAATAATTATTTTATTGAAACAACCACAGTATTGCAGAAGAAAAAAATACCAAGTCAAAACAACGTGATTTATCAGATGTTTGACTCTTGGACTAAAATGAAAGATAAATGGATTACCCATTTAGGGATGCCAAAAGTATTGGTACAAAGTCAGTACTAAAATAATTGGAATAAAAAAGATCCTCTTTTTTCTTCGGCTTGCTCCCTTTATCAGGGGTCGCCACAGCGGAGTGATCCGCACAACCGATTTGGCACGTTTTACGCCAGATGCCCTTCCTGCCGCAAACCAGCCCTGAGAGTGCATTAACTCGTGCAACCCCAGTGCTGGGACACACTCACTCACTCACTCATTCACACACACACTCACTACGGCCAATTTACTTTGTCCAATTAATCGGAATAAAAAAGATAACTATAATTGAACAATTTCAATTTTGATTAAATTCAGCAGTGCTGTCACCAAAGCAAAGCCTGCTGTGACAAAAACAATAGTGTGCATCTATTATGAAAACTACAGAAATCTCCAGGTAGAGCAGAAAGGTGCTGCCATGAATCTAAATCATTGTTTCCATTGTTATCGGTATACAGAAATGTTGTTATTGTAATTAAATAAAGTATCATAAGTGAATCATATAACCCCACTATAGACAAAAAAAAAAGAAAAAAAAAGTGAAGAGGAGAAGACACGTACTTCTTTTCAATAATGCTAGGATTCGCGCTCACCAGGTGTGTTCTGGTACCAACATCAGTGGTGTACTCTTTGGACAGAGGAGGAAGGTTACATCTAGAGGTAGAGGAGATGAAGAAAGATTGCAGAAAAAGTTTTGCTGGGAGTGATGTTTTTCAGTTTGTCACAAGAAAGCATTGTTTCTTACAGTAAATACAATAATAAAAGTCCCAGGTCTTATTGTGATGTTACTGATACATTTAGCTTCACATTAACACTTTGCATATCACAGGTTAGCACAGGCCAGCAACCGGCTAATCAAGGTCTTCAGGATCACTAAATCTTCTACGCAGGTGTATTGGAGATAAACTCTGCAAGAAAAGTGGCCCTCCAGCAGCAGTATTGGACACTCTTGGGTTAGCACTAGCAACATAATCTAGCCCCTGATTCACTGATACTCTCTGTGACCATCAAGCTCTGAGCTTGACCTGACAAGAAAATGACCAAATTAAAAGACCAAGCTGACCTGAGCAATTATCAATCTCTCCTGTCCTCTTACTCTTTTCCCCTTGTTTCTGCTGCCAAGGCCACTTAGTACCAATACATCTCCAATAATAATCAGTAACCACTTTTCCACACTAAACACACACACAACCAACCACTACTTGAATGCGCTCCTCCTATTCTTCTCCCATTCCTTAGAACATGATCCTCTCCCATCTTCTACAGGAAACTACACTGCTGTTACTAACTCTCACTCTAATCATCACATCTCTCATGACTTTCAACTTTCCTTCCATAATTAAGTAGGCTGAGGCAACCCCACTGCTAAAAAAAGTCAAAACTTAAACCTAGTAGTCTCTAGTCTCTCTCTTCCCTTTCTCACAAACTCCCTAAGTATTCAATCAGTACTTTTTCTCTCACAGGACAAGCTACCCAATAACAACCAATCTAGCTGCAACAGCAGACATTCCACTGAAACCACCTGGCTGTCAATAAAACTCTACACCTGACAAGAGAGAACTCCAGATAATCTGTTCTCATTGCTTTGTTGCCTTGAATACTGTAAATAACCAGATTCTCCAATCTGACCTGGGCTTCACAGGTATGGCACTTATGTGTTTTCAGTGTTACCTTACAGGCAGATCCTTTATAGGTTTCTGGAGAGGAGGGTGTCTGAACTAAGCACTGGGGTGCCTCAGGGTTCAGTGCTTGGTCCTCTCCTTTTCTTGATATACACAACCTCACTATGCTTGATCAAACAGGCACATGACTTTTCCTATAACTGTGGAAGTAATATGCAGCTCTACCTGTTGTTCCAACCTGATGGCCTCATAGTCTCAGCTTGCATCTTTGCTTGCCCTTCAGACATTTCAACTTGGCTAGAGTTGGGGCTGCTCAACCTTGCAACCCCAGAGCTCGTAAACCACAACCAACCAGTTAGTTGACTACCTTGTCGCTGTTTAATTGGATTCATCAACACTAACGCCAACCAGAACAAGGAACCTGGGGGTAGTGTTTGATGACCAGTTTACTACCCACATCTCAACAAAAGCCTGGTCATGCAGGTTAATGCTTTATAATATCAGGAAAACTAGACTATTTTTTCTGGGTACATTGCGCAGCTCCTAGTCCAAATACTTGTCATTTCAAAACTGGACTACTGCAATGCTCTATTGGCCAACCTTCCAGTCAGCACATATAAGCCTCTGCAGATGATCCAGAACTTGGCAGCACATCTGCTCTTCAATCAATCAAAGCGATTCCACGCCATATTTCTCTTGGTTTTACTCCACTGTCTTCAACTGGAAGGTATATGCAACTGGAAATGGATCCTCCTACCTAAAATTCCCTTCTGCAATTTAGAGTCAGTGAATGAGGGGCACAAAACATTCCTTCACAATGAGGCACCTTTACACCTCTGCAATGGGATGAACTGCCTACCTTCACCCATTACTACTTTTAAGAAACAGTTGAAGACATATCTTTTGCTCATGCACTTTTCTAAACCACAAAGGTTTTCTCTTTCTGCATTTCACCTTTGCTTTAGTTTGTGTACTAATGTACTAATGTTTACATTCAAACTTGGCATTATGTGTTGCAAATATTGCTAGATAGATGCATTTTCTATATATATATATATATTAGGGATGTCAATTTTCGATCATTTCCATGATCGATTGTCATTTAAATTAACGACCAATTAATCGATTAATCGTTAACCTAAATGCTGCAAATTGCGTCTATTGCAGCGGCATGCAGTCACCGGCATGACAGTAAACAACTTAAATTGTTTACTCACCCAAATTAAAGGGGTTTTAGTCTGAATAAAATGCTAGTAGCAGGATTGTAAAATGAATAGATGTGATTTGGTAAAATGAAGAGAGCGCGCCGTACGTTTGAGATCATTTTACTTTGTTGGCTGTTTATATCTCGGAGACGCTGAACGTGCTTTTTCAAATGGTTTCATGGTGCTCTTTGTTGTATTTTAAAACACAATGGCAATGTTTTCAATTGACATTATGGCATTTAAAATAAAATTATCCCAAACACAAGTACGGCGCGCATGGCTGTGCTGCACAGTCAGTGAACTGCTTCCATTGGCGCTGCTGCGAAAAAACACACTGCTGCTCACATGAAACATTTTTATGCGAGTATTATGATCAGTGCTTAATTTGATCCTGCTGGATCCTGTTCCGGAAAATGTCAGATTTTTAATTTTTGCGTTCCGGTAGGCCTGTTTGCTTTTTAAAGATCCGGCATTTACAAGCGCATTAGATCGTGACAGTGCGTGCGTGCATACGAGACGGAGCGAGCGTGGGTTTGGCTAGATGTATTTGGAGGTTATTGTACCTCTCTCATTCGGCACAAATCCAAATGTTTCCATATTCGCAATGTATTTGAATGTTAAACTATTATTTATAATGTAAACTAGGCTTTGTAGGCATATGCTACTTTACGCGCATTCGCATATCAATGGAAAAATCATCCTCTTCACAGGAGCAAAAATGTGCTTGGCATAACAGCAGAGTGGACCAGTATACGGACTATTTAAATTGACCAGTGTAACCTTTTATATGTTTGGTTGACTGTATTTGATTTTGATAATGAACAGCCTGCGATGTAAGTTTGAATTGCTAGAATATGTGGGGTGTGTGTGCGTGAGGCGCCGGCGCGATCGAACAGTTGAAACATAAAAAAATCTAAATTTTTGGTCATACAGATAAGAGTAAGGTAAGTTATAATTCGAAACCGCAAAGTGTTTACTTTTATTTTTGCACACTCACAATAAAAACAGAAGATTTGTGCTTTTGTAAAATAAAGCAAACAAACAGGATGCGTGTTCAGTTCTTGGTTTCCTTTCCGTGAACTTGTTTATGGAGCGCCGCGCCACACATCTGTTTTAAATCTGTTAACTTAATTATTAAGTCGATATATATTGCTTTTTGTTTTTAAATGAAAACTAATTGTGTTATTTTTATTTTAGGCCTATTTTCATTTAACTTACATAGGCTATTTTCCTTAAAACATCCCATTTTGAACCAGGGCTTGAAAACCTGTGCCCTAGGCTAGTTAGGTCCATAAACTTGTGAACACTCTTAGTTGTGGCATCACCGTTTAGTGACATCATTGAATGTCCCGGGAAAACTGAAGCTGTATTGTCAGTGTCAGTCACAGCGCCTTTTAATTGCTGTTTTGAATCCGGCAAATATTTATTAACAAATTATAAGCTCTGATTATAACACAAGTGAGGTATAAAAGAGGAATAATTGGTTAGCTGGCAAATGTTACATCGCGACCATGCTTTTGGATGCCGTTCGAGCCCATATACATTTACGCGGCTTTGTTCTGGTTTGCCGGTTGGTTACGAATTTCCACAAATGTAATAATATTTATTATTTATTGTTTCTTTTCCTAAAACCTCACCGTCTCACCCTCTAATTTCGAAGGTTTATTTTATTGTCATTCACTTTTAATCACTGTTTTCACATCTCTTACTGTGGTAAACATGCGGGAAGGGAAGTGAAAGATTTCATGGCCATGAATTAAGAATTCGTTCTATTTATTAATTCGTTCCCTCATTTTAGTTAAATCATGGGTTATTTAATGAATAAAATTAATGAAACAGGGACAGTGGCCACAAATGAATAAATCGTAGGAACGAATTAACAAGTTGTAGGAATGAATAATCTATCTGTCCTGTGTCCTGCAGCCCTGCAAAGCACAGTGCCCGATATGAAAGAATTATCTGGGGAAATGACCTAGGTACTACATTTTTATTGCTTTCCATGTTGAAGAATTTTGTGTTGTTTCTATTTTAATGTACTTTTAAAGTTTAAATCACATTAAAAGCTTAATTTTATGAATGAATGAATAATGATGCATTTATATACCGTCACCGTCACTCACTGCCGCTTGCACGTGTTTTGTGCACCCCAAAAATTTAATAATAATAATAATAATAATTCATTACATTTATATAGCGCTTTTTCTAAGCTGTTTAAGAAATTTGAAATGGATTAAAAGGTAAATGTGTTAAATAAACATACTTATACTTTAGATTAGGGCTGTGCGATATGGACAAAAAAAATCTATCGCGATTTCTTTGATATACATTTTAATTCCTTTGTTTAACCGTTCTGATTAATCTGTTTAATCTGATTATTAGACAGACTTCTATCCGTATTAGACAGAACTGTTAACGACGACGACGAACAAGAGGGAGAATGTGAGCACTGTGCTCAGTCAAAATAAAAGTCTGTCACGCCGTCAAAATAAAAGTAAAAGTAATAAAAAAATATGGCGATATATCGGTATATATATATAGAGTATATATAAATGTAAAACTAATTCTGTTTGACTTTGGATATGATTTGACACTTACAAACAAATATTACTATCTTCTCACCTCATGATAAAGTCAGCTTGGTCAATTTCTTTTCCACAGCCACTGTGTTTCAGGACCCCTCCATTGCCCACAACCGAACACTTCTTCAGAGGAAGCTGCAATGGTGTATCCTAGCAACATAAAAACAGTGGGAGTTACACAAATGGGTCAAAGCAATACAGAGTCTCACACACACACACACACACACACACACACACACATCCCATTTCCATTTGTTTATTTTGATGAATACATATTCAAATCATGGTTACTTATATTCATACGCTTCAAAGTGCGGTGAACTTCTGAGTAAAACTGAATCGATGAAAAGACCCTTTGTAAGACCCCCTGCCGATTAATTTTACATTACAGGCCACAATTTCATCTCACATTCATAATTAAACACTCATCATCAGACATTTTCATTCAACAGGAGTTATAGACAAACCAAGAAAAAGCCCGCAATTTTTTTTTTTTTTTCACTCTTCCCTGAGTGGTGGTTAGTGTATTGCTAAGTGGTTGCAATAGTTTTTTGTATGGTTTCTTACTGGTCCAGAGCAGTAGAAGGAGAAGGGCTTACCCCATAGTCTGTATCACATTATGATCCCTACATATGGCTTGGGTCTACTAAAAAATCAATAGACTTGGTGTGTTAATACAGAATGCTGTCAAAGATGTGCAGCTATACTATATATATTCTACTTCAGAGTCATATCAAATACTAAAACAGACATTTTAGTATCCATTTGTTTAGACACATACATCATACATGACATATTACTAGTAAGCATATGACATTTTGACTTGGAAAAAGCAGGACAGAGCATATACAAACATGCCAGAAAGATTAAGGCAGATTTTGGTCAGCAGAAGGTTTAAGGAGAGATGACACATTGAAAGTAGAATAGCTTAGACAATGTCCAATACAAACATACAGCTCTTCAACAGCTTGACAGTTATATATGCAAGGAGAGTGTAAGGATAAAGATTAACAAAGGAAATTGTTTATCTGTTACCACACCTGGCTCTTCCTTCGCAAAAAGGGCCATTTAGTCACAAGGAATATGATAAAAGACTGTAACCTACGCTCTTTTCTCTCTTCCATGTGGTTTCACTAAAGCTACAAATTCATACTTCCAGGTAACGATCCCTACCATCTCCCAAGTAATCTCAAATTGGCATCTATGATGCGCAACAGATTTCAGAATCAAACAGTTGGTGGTTGCCATTGACTTCCATAGTATTTTTTTTCCTACTATGGAAGTCAATGGCAACCACCAACTGTTTGATTACCAGCAATCTTCAAAATATCTTCTTTTATGTTCAACATAAGAAAGCAACTCATACAGGTTTGGAACGACATGAGGGTGAGTAAATGATGACAGCATTTCCATTTTTGGGTGAACTATCCCTTTAATATGGCAATTAATCATGAATGAATAATGCAGCAAAACGCTAGCAAATGCACTTTGGGTTCTTTGGGCTGTCATTGCAAAGGGTTGTTAAATAGACGAGAAATGCACATCATCATGCTTCGACTTTTTCATTCTGACATTCCCACAGTAGGAACCAATGTAGTGAAACTCAGTTTATTTTCAGTTTACCACTAAAAAAAATAGCTAAAAAGGCTGAAGGAGCATAAATCATTGAAGAAAATATGCCTGTCGGGAGCAAACATTGAAGCATCCCATTGTGTTTATACTATATATCAGCACTCTCTGAATGAATTAAAGAACAGGAATGAACTACTGTATATTTTAACCTGTAAATGTTCTAATCTGTTGTTTCAGGGTTTGGGATTCTCAAACATTACTGGAAGATGTTTTTCGTTAATGCAATGATCTACACCTATGCTTACAGGAAAATCCACTTTAAATAACTAATCTTTTGGACACCAGTTGGTAAAACATCATGCAAAAATCTCTAGAAGAATAAAGCTCTAGGTAAGATCATATCTGTGCTGTCTTATCTGGCGTCAGTGATACATAATGTTCTGATAAACATTACAAGCAGATGGTTAAACTCAATTTCAGTAAGTCTGACGTATGCTGAAACATAATACTGAGAATGACAGTGAAAGTCATTTTTAAGACTATGCGTGTAAAAATTAATCTTTTTAATGGCTTTTCTGGTCACAAAAGAACCATTTACGACTAAATGTACTATACAATTATTCATTGACCCCTTTTAGTTAAAAAAACAAACAAACAAAAAACTGTGTCCATAGAAACATGGCTGCATAACCCATAGATCTCATTGAATAAATGTACTAAATCACAGTGTAACTACATTAGAGTGAGGCAGGCGTTGTGTGTTTGTGCGTCCATCAATAATGAGCGTGGGATCTGAGACAGTGTAGGAGGAACACTGCGACTGAAAGGCGGCATGGTGCCCAGTACAGGACAATCAGGACCCATGCGGGTGTCTCTCCCATGCCTGTTTATTTTTAGAAGATGGAGTGCTGCGCTGAGCTTCATGGAGAGTGGGGGTGGAAAGGAAAAAAAAAAAAGGACCAACTGCTTCGCATTCAAACACTTACACATGAATAATTATATATATATTTTTAGCAAAAACATTCCAGACATTTATCTGTAAGTTCAGGTAACTGAAAAATATGTTCAATTAGATTTAAAACACCATAAGTGTGCTGTCACTTTTCTAAGTGATCAAACTTTTATTTGGTGTGCAATTAAATGCACAACAACAAAATACCTACTAATACTGTAATACTGAAAGAAACAACAGTATTTGCTCTCTCATGATTCAGTGTAAAATTCTTGTTTTGGTTCTGCTGAATGTTTGGCTAACCATACTTATGTATGCATGTTGAGCATATAATCTTGAATTAACAGGAATTTGGAACAGTACACTCTTCTGTCATGCATTAAAAATTATATTAGGATGACGAATTAATGTGAAAATACAGTGATACCAAGGAAGTCAACACAAGGACGTATTATCCGTTTAATATTAGTTTGACTATTTTTAGTCTTACTAAGCTGATGCCAGACTTGGATTCAGATAAATAATTGCATTTCACAAGAATCACCAGTCACACTTACTAGATCTATACCCCACCATAAAGATGAGGCAGCAAAATCTAGTCATATTTTTTTTGGCTCATTGACTTTTATGAAAGACAGTACCTGAACAAAGATTGGGTAGGTTTCATTGGTGACCGTGTGATAATGGTAGATCTCCCCATCGTACCACAAGACTTTGCCTATTGGCGAGTTCTCCTTAGTAACAGCAAACATCCTCTTTGGGTCACAGCATTCTGTCAGCAGTTTCCTGTCAAGAAAGAAAATGAGATTTTATGACACTGATTATTGGAAGCAGAAGTAAAGGCTTTTGAATTAGTCATTTCAAATTGACTGGGAACAAACGCGCGTTTTTGTAAGCACAGTGTCTTTTATTCAGCAAAAAGATTTCTGTGCAATTACACTTAAATAATTTAATTACCAATGTGAACGTGAGCATAAATGAAAAGCATTTATTAAATAATGAATGAATGAATACATAAATACTGCAGGTTTTGTGAAGTTAAAGTTAAGACTTTTTAAGTCCAAGTAAAGAAAATTGAAGGAATTATTGAAAGGGGCCCACAATGAAATGTATCAAAATAAAGTGCATTTATGATTAAAAGAAGAACAAATATCTGCCAATTTATGGAAATGTGAATAAAGACTTTTTAAAGACTTTTTTCTCCTTCAAGTAATGTTTTACAGCAGATCTTTTCTATTGTGCAACAGACTTATTCCTAATTTAATAATAAGGAAGTATGATATGCTGACAAAACAATATTTTGCAACAGTTGTCGCAACAAATTTCAATCAAAAAGTCAAAGGAATATAATAATAATAATAATAAATAACAAATCTAATAACAGAATCACCGTCTTTGTGACGTTACAAAGACCCGCCTTTCTGGGAGTTCACAGCGGGGACAGATAACGTTTCAAACGCGGTTACCTCTCTGCGCATGTGCGTTCTCTTAAAGGGGTCATATGATGTTTTTTTAAAGATCATTATTTTGTGTATTTGGTGTAACAGAATATGTTGACATGCTTTAATGTTCAAAAAACCCATTATTTTTCAAATACTGTACATTATTGTAGGTCCTCTATGCCCCGCCTCTTTTTCGGGGAAGATGTCTTTACTCTGCAATACTCATATCAGCATGAGAGCCAGATTACATGGATGAGATAGTGATTGCAACCGCTCCATTTACTTAATTACAGTAAGAGAGAGACTACATGTCATTCCAAATCGCGTCACGGTACCAATTTATCTAAGATATGTGGCCATACGCATCATAGATGCGCTCACAATGAATGAATAATTGAATGAGACGAATCAAAACGCAATGAAATAACGTTACCTGTACAGATCTACTCCGGTTTGGTTTCTGCTCCACGTTTGTCCCTGCCGCAGAACCTCATCCACCATTTCCTTGTCGCTGGGGATCCTGTACACGGGGAAGATGTAGAGCCACAACAAAGCCAACACACCCAGAGTGGCCCATATATACTTGCTCCGGTGACATCTCAAAGACACCATTCCGCCGATCTGATCAGACAAATGCCTAGTTCAAAAACACGTGCTCACGGCTGACCCGTTTATTTCGGTGCCTCTGCCATTAGGAGCAAAAACCCGCTGAAATACCGTTATCCTGCTATTAACATTACGCGGTGTGAAAGAGGCCAACAGCGGTGTAGCAGTGTCAGATTTTCATGCATGCATCAAATTCCTCCTCATTCCATGCACTGCTTTGCTGATGAATGAGCTCACAATCACTGTCGATTTATTCTGGGATGCGATCGCCTTCATCGGTCCCGTCTGGCCCAGCAGGAGGAATCTCACGGGATTTTATACGGGATCCAGATATCTTCTGCCCCCATCACCCCTAATGCAAACCGTCTAGAACTCTCCAACAAATCTGATCCCTGCGCTAGCCGGCTTCATATCACCTTTAACACCACATCACGGCCCATTTCTCATAGTGTCCCGCTATGCAAATTCATTTTTAGGCCTTCCCTCTCAGCCTGGCCGTCTCGGATGTAATCTTCCAAATAAGTGAGAGACAAAGCTCAGTTTGTGAATGCTTTAGCACGCATAACTGCCCTCATTATTTGTTACGGTGCTGCCCCCTTCTGGTTAATGTAGTCACATGAAAACGGCTGTATATAACTAGCGTGCATACTGCACGTTTTACACCGTATGTTGCCTACAAATGGTATTGTGAACGCAGTACGCATGATCAGAAACGTGCTACTTTTTGTAACAAACGTGTTTCGGTCAGTGCAAAAGTGTCTTTTTCACATTTTCTATAGGCTACGCCTCAGATAATTTCCTACTACATTTGAGTCATACAGTTTAGGGTAAGACGGGGTAAAATGAAGATTTCACATCAGTGTTTTTGGATTTGTGGAGCAAAAGTTATAGATTCTTATATTGAAGTAACAGAATTGGCAGACGAAGCCCCCAAATGGCAAGTAGGTAATAGTGTTATTTTTTAAATGTTATACTTAGGTAATTAACGGGGTTATTATTTAGCCTAATATTTTCACGAATTATTTCAAACATCTTTGCTTTAATTGGTTTAATTTGCCTATTGGTTAATTGAGTGAAATCATTAAATCTGCATTCATACTGTTGCTATTATGACATATTCACTTAAAATATGGGCAATTACACTCTTAAAAATAGAGGTTCTGTATTGGCATCAATGGTTCCATGAAGAACCTTTAACATCCATAGAACCTTTCAAATGCAGAAAAGGTTCTTTATGGTCAAAAAAGGTTCTTTAGATTTTTAAAATGTTCTTCCAAATAAATAAATAAAAAAAGTTAACTAAAAGGTTCTTTAGAGAACCAAAACACTGGCATCACTGCAGAAACACCCTTTTTGGAGCCTTTATTTTAAAGAGTGTATTATGTAAATATTCATATGCCTGTATATGAGTCATTTACTAATTTAATTTTACCTTATTGCCAGATTAATCTTCTTTTCTGGGATTCTGCTTTGTCTTTCATCGGCTATTTGATTTTTCAACTAAATTGTCAAAATAAAAATTTTAATAGAATAGTTGACATTTTAAAAATATACAAACATTAATAGGAATTATATCAAAAGTCATTTATAAGATTACACATTTTACCCAAGGTAGGGGGCCAACTTAACCATATTGGAATGTTTTACATTTTGTGCTATAGCAACTAAATAAGCAAATGTTTTTTGTTTATTTCCTACAATAACACATTGGCTGATGCATTATCATCCTTAACATGCTAAACTTATATCTAAATATGTTAAAATCTCAAAAGTAAATCCACATCGTTCGTAAGAGGGGCTTCTTCCCCATTTCCCCCTATTTAATATTCATCTAATAATTAAAATGTTCTGTTCTTCTAACAATTTTCTTCAGAAACAGGCATATTATAAAAGCATATTATAATCTCACACAAATATTTTGTGCACCCTACAATGTAAGAAAAAAAAAGTAGAAAACGAACAATGTCATGGAAGATATATATTAGGTTTACAGGCATTTCCTTTAATCCTAAAACAAAACACAATGCAACGTGCATGCACAATGCACCAGTAAACACATGTGAAAAGGTAGTACAGAAAATTGCTTCATATTAACACTGTACTATTTTTTATAGAATTTTCTTATAGTTTCCATTTGCTTAAAATTGCCTTGATGACAATTTTTAGATAACATAGCCTACTTTAGTTGTCATGACTCTACTGTGTGACTGTGCCCACTGATGATAATGCATTGTTTGAAATACATTTGTTTTTATATAATTATATAATTTATATAATGCAACCTTCTACTTGTTCTTGTCAACTAGAATGCTGCTTATCATATCCTTTTAGGGTATATTTTATATCCACATAGGCTGTAGTGGTGCATAACATCTATTAAAATAACAAATATATTTAAGGTAATTTTATGATAAAATAAATTCCTGTCCTTAATGACAATGCTGAGAATATCACATGGATATATCTGAAAGAAATCTTTAAAATACTTTTAAACAATGCAATGCACTTAACTAAGCTAATTCAATTGCAAGCTACTACTACTCAATAAGAAGTGTACTTAAATTGAATAAATGAATAACGGTAATAAGTGGTTGATATCGCTTCTGGTCCATACTACACACTACAAATGGAAGTGAAGTGCATTGCATCGTGAGATACAGTATGCTGGTATACAATAAGGTGTACAGAAAATGCACATAGTACAAATAACATAAAACATTATTGTACACACCCTTCTCCACCAGCAGAAGGAGATCTTGGACTATAACATGACTTACATGACATAATAATGATGCTGCATAAGGGCTTTCGGATAATGATGATTTAAGTCTTTATTAATGATCTTCCCATCCACTGAAGAGCTCTAAAATGTGATTAGTGCAATTTATTATGCGCATATTCAGTATACATGCATATTGATTTGTTAAGATACATGAGAACCATTTATGTTTTATTTTGTATTTTAAATATGGCACATCAAGACATGTTACACCAGGAGTGATATAAGATATCTTTATGTGCCATATTTGAAAACAAAGAAATAAACAAAACAAATCTGCTAAACTTCTCATATGGGTTTGTAACAATGACTATATTCACCCAGCCAAGAGGTGTCACTCGAATAGTTTTGAATGGGGAAAAATGCAACGCTTAATATGGCCTCTCCTAGTGTTGGGGAAAGTTACTTTTAAAAGTAATGCATTACAATATTGCGTTACTCCCTAAACAAACTTAATTACATTACTTAGTTACTTTTTATGGAAAGTAATTACGTTACTTCTGAGTTACTTTTTAAATCTGGGAAGGGCTTGCTTGTTTGTTTTTAATATTAAAAAGTTCTTCTTTTACAAATGTAAAAGCCTTTTCACAACAAAAGTGAAATAAATACGCCTCAGGCTGAAGGAAATGTAAATTCACGTCTGTACAGTAGAGGGCGCAGCTCAAACAAACTAACTGAAGAATATGACGCAGAAGAAGTTCAACACTATTCAGCAAAAACAAAAATGAAAGACAAATGTGTCATTTTTGCTTAGTATGGTGGAATTAAATCATCGAAGGTCAACAGCAAAGACATTGGTTAATAAAATATATTTGAATGATATTTGTCTTATTTAACATTTAATTATTGCAGGTTTGTATAATATTCTGAGTTTGCATGTGATGGTTTTTATTCATTTTGAAGAATACTGAATCTGTTTTTGTGCAGGTGAGATGAGTAAATACATGTAGATATTTAGTCTAGAACTACAGTAACATCATGTTCACACAGCGCACACAACGCCTCTGCACGTACTCCCGATTTCTCTCAACATGGCAACACCAGAGCTGTCAGTCAAGATATGGGAAACAAAGTAACTGGAGTTACTTATTTTAAAAAGTACATCCGATATTTCCTTCTAAATTAAAAAGTAATGTGTTACTTTGCAAGTTATTTAAAAAGTAATCTCATTACGTAACTCGTGTTACTTGTAATGCGTTCTCCCCAATCCCAACTCTGAAATTTAATCGTAAGCTTGGTAAAGAGTTTTGGAGAATTTGATGTTTCCCTGTACAAAGAGATAGGAGCTGCACTTGCATGCCTGAGAGGCGTTACAAAGATGGCCGCCGAGTGAAATGATTTGCCTCAAAGGGACTTTGGTTTGTAATGGCATGAGGATAAGAACTAAATTATATTTTTTCATGAATTCCTTAAAGGGCATAGTGGTGATCGAGGGGCTCAGTGAAACTTCACATCATTGGATGCCTATTTTGGGACTACATCCTGAAACTAAGCTGATAATTTGTGTTAAAATCTAGACAAGTGATGATTATTAAGTCAAGGGGTGACTAAATAAGAATTTAAACTTTCACTGCTGCACAGCTGATTAGTCATATTGAGTAATGTCATGCAAGCATGTAGAGGTTTAGCCTATATTTAGAATCTGAAACCAGGCTGATGGATCATGTAAAAGCTGCCTTACTGAAGATTTTAAGATTGCTTATAGCCACAGGAATTTTTTCCAATCTGAATGTTGGTGAAAACAGCAATTGTTTAAAGGGGTCATATGACGTTGCTAAAAAGAACATTATGTTGTGTATTTGGTGTAATGCAATGTGTTTATGCGGTTTAAGGTTCAAAAAACACATTATTTTCCACATAATGTACATTATTGTTGCTCCTCTATGCCCCGTCTTTCTGAAACAGGAAAAATTGAAATCGCATCATATGACCCCTTTAATGCTGCAGTATGATGTCCAACAAGATTGGAACGTGAAAGTGAAGAAACGATGACAGAATTATAAGTTTAGGATTAACTAACAGCTGCTAATTACTTACTATCTGCTTTTAATTATGTTATGGGCGGGGGATCGGGAAAGGTCCTTGAGCCGGGATTCAAACTTGGGATGCTCGTAGCGCAATGGCGCTATATGTCAACACGCTGCCCAAAAGGCTATTGGCGCCAATGAATCCTTTTTTTTAAGAAATATTAAAAAAATGTACATTTTGAATGAATATATTCTGGGATCATGAATAATACATCAATAAACATTTTTATGTTCAAATAAATGATGACTAAACAAAGTTGCTGGTAAACCAGATTAAAGACATTTTCCTGGTTAAGTAAACACAAGTCAAGTTGATCTCTATTAAAAGATCTGTTAACAGTATCTTTTAAAACAAACCCAAACAAAAAAGGTGTTGACAGAAATGCAGTTACACTGGAAGAGTTACAATGTAAATAAGCAATGCCAGTGTGTTATCTCTTGTGGGATGGGTTTTGCACACATATGCTTTTTACATTTTATACTAATTTTATACAATTAATTCATAACATTTGATTGATCAAAATCATTAATTTTTAAACCATTTTTTTTTTTGTCCAAATCCTATCCAAATATTTTATGGAGTAATATTTTATTTGTTTTACTTAACAGTGAACCACCTTTGTAATTAGCACATCGCAGTGCAATGGAATAACTTTTGAGTCAGAAAATAATTTATTAATTTTTGATAAATATGAATACGTGATATTGCCTTTATACAACAGTTTTATAAAGAAGCAATTAATATATACCTCCTGTCAATATGAGATT